GTACACTGAAAAAACGAACTTGGTGGTGTAGTAAAATATACTAATTAAACTGTCCTAATGTCTACAATTAAATTTTTCATTTCTGCGGGAACTAGATTTTGTCAAGTAAAATTACATGTATGTACACAATTTATTTATGTATTTAAAATGGCTGTGTGGAAGGAGTAAGTCTTATTATGGATGTTTTCATAACATTTAAATGTTTTTTAGTCTCTGCTAGAAACACTAAAATACTGAGTAAATTTTACGACACTATTTTAGAGTGCGTTTGAATCAGCGCATGCGCATTGGGACAAACAAAAGAACCGCGCAGATGTCCATTGTCCGTCCGTTCGTTGGCAGCAGACAGAGTTGTGAATATCTCCGGAATCTCTCAGGTAAGTAACAGCTTTATCCATAAAATAATTTATTATCAGTGTAAAACGCGTTTTGGTGATTAGTTTGAAGCACTGTATGGACTGCACACTGAGCGGTCTACACTCCCAAGGTTTGTGTGATGTAGCTTGATGCTAGCTAGCTAGTTATTAGCCAGTTCATTCCACCAGAGTCGCACGCCGCGCGGTTAATTTGCGAGATACTCTATCCTATTCAGAGCTATTGTATTTTGTCTCATGTACTGTCCCGTGTAGTGCGAATATAACACAACGCTACGCCAAAGTTTTTCGTTTTTTTAGTTATTGTCTATGTGCTTTCACCTCGAAACATCATCTCAACTTTTAGCATGGCGGCTGCGTTGCGGTGTATCGTTGAAGCTGCGTGCCACGGTCAAGAGACAAACACAACATGAAAATGGCTGTAAATTAATCTATAAATTATAAGTTGCCCTTAAAAATATGTGTTTTCATTCACAGGCGACTGTTTTTGTATTTAGCCGGCTGGGACATGAGGTGACCAGAGAGAGTCAGGAGCGCTGGGCTGTTCAGTGACTAATCAAATACTGCACCGTTGTGATTAGGCAAGTACAAATACACTGCATGTATGCATGACGCAATATTGCTGTTTTTATTGTTCATCCATTCTACAGTTCAGATCTACAGATCAAGGAGGAGTTTTGGAGAATAACTACAATTTCTCTAGAGCAAAGCTTCATGTACAAACTAGACCACTATACACCAAAGCTTACTGCCCTGATGAAAGCAAAGGGAGGTGTTGTGGGGACCAGGCTGAGGCCCCATCTGGATAAACTGAGTCAGGTATGTTTGATGTATCTTCTGCAGGAAGACAGATCTACTGTGTGTCACAGTTTCACACACATTCTGCCCCTGTCCTAGACAACACAAATTCTCACTCTCTGTAACATACTTCTCCTTTCCACACATGGAAACAAACCACTGCTCCTTGCAAGTATTCGTATCTTCTGACATGATAGTATATTGTGTACAAATTATTGTTTGGAACTGACGCTATTACTCCTTTCACAGAACCCAAGCACTGACATGAGACGTGACGCAGTTATCCGTGGCCTCATACTATTCCTTGGTGAAAAAGAAGAGAAACTTTTCGAAGATTGCCTGGTAAACCACGTTTTATTTCTAAAATAATTTTTTGTCTCTTTACTTGAGTACGATATCTATGGGTGATTTTAATATATTTTTTTTGCACCAAAGTAGTATTTAACCACCAAATTTAATTTTTTTTACTTAGGCATAACTTTTAAATACGTTTTACAACACTTCTTGTAATAGTCTATAGAAGGCTGGTATTCCTACTCTTGAATTGTTGTCAACTAAATAGTTTTCTTTTTTCTTGTGAATTTCATGCAGGAGGACAATCGCAGTGATGCCACTCAACACATAGTCAAGATCCTGGTTGTCCATGGTACTGATGGAGAAGAACCAGTAGATGTTTCCATCATTCTTGAAGGGAAGGAGGTATTGACAGGATGCAACAGCACAGCCAAAGCTTCCACGTTGCTAATGGGACTGATTTATTCCCTGAACCTTGCCTACCCCTGGACTCTGCGCTACACCTTTGAGGTGTTTCAAAAACTTTTCCTGGAACTGAATGGGATAAAGCTGTCACCAAAAGTACATCTTTAAAGTTGAAGTTGCTGTCTGAAAGGAGTTTTCTTTCTTAAATGTTCCTAATGTTGTCAACAAAGGCAACTGCTGTCATTCATGCTCACAAGGTAAAGAAAAAGTTAAAAATAACCTCTTTTTTTAAAGGTTTTAACAGAGGATTTGATGTTGTCCTCAAACTTTAATGTTTTAACCGAATGCTAATATAAATATGTTAATGGATGTTGCGGTTTAGAATGTTGTTCATGTCAGTACAGCATATTTTGTCAGGTCAAACCCTCAATCTGTTTTGTCACCTGATGTGCCCTGTTTAGTTTAATGCGTCCAGGGGTCAAAAACATTTTGATTTTCCAGTGATATGCTTTTTTTCTGTATAGCGTAATGATCACTCAGTAAAGGTAAACATTTTTTCTTGATTGATGCTTTATTGATTTACTGCTGCTGAGATTTCATTTAATTTTTTGTCATGTGAAATGTTGACTGCTGTTTATTGTACAGTTCTACATAGCTGTATAAAATGAGGTGTTACGTAAGGTACCGGACAAAGGTTTATGAATAAATAATGGAATTGTATTTTAGCCGTGTGATTATTAATAGTATTTGGTAATATTTATCAAAAGAGAATTTGCAACATTTACATAAATTAATTAGGTAATATAACTTCAAACAACCAAGTAATTAAAATGATCAAACAGGATAAAAAGTACTTGATAATTTTACTACAGTAAATATCAAAGGTAAATAAAATCTACTCAATATTTTGATGTTGTAAATGTATATGTATACAAAAAATATAGTATATTGTACTTAATTTGTGTGTGTAATAAAAATTGAATTATCAGTTAAACTAAGTAACACTTACCTAATATTTTCACAAATGTTACCATCAGAAATAAGTAGATTTTACTTAATACTATTAAGGAACTTTTACTGGATATCACAGCAGTAAAATTTACTCAAAAATTTTGAGTGCAAATTGTTACGAGGATTTTTTTAAGTAAATGTTAGTTGTCGTTTTTTTCAGTGTCGTCAAGCCTCAGCCTGTGTGACTGTAGATTGCATTACATAAGTGAGATCTCTGTTGATGATATACATCATTAGTATTATTCTTCTGGTTCAGTGGTATTGACAGATATTAATGGGAATTTCCTTGTGTTTCAACCCATAATACCTACATAAAAAGCTGCTGCACAGATTGTTATAGATAAAGTTAAACTGTGAGACATCACCGACAGAGGTGATATTGAACATTTCTGCTTTCCGGAAGTTCTCTGTCTTAGTTTTGTAAGACTAGTCCAGTCCAGTATTCTGTTAGTATTGTGATGTACTTTGTTTGGCCTGTTGGACTCACATTGACGGTGTCGTATCCAAAGGTCCCATAGAGGCTTCCAGCTCCATAGTGCAGGTAGAAGGTCTGTCCCTTGCCAGAGTAGGTAGAGGACTGCTGGGGGTTGAACTTTGTGTGTGTGTCTGTGAATCGCATTGATCGGGATTATCTCTGGAGCCATTTCCCCCGACATACCCCCATGCCTTGCAGAGCCGTTTGACATTTATAGAAATCATGTGCTGAATCTTTACAGATGCAGTTGCTGGGACCAACAAATGCTTACTGGCATGCCTGTAATTACACTACAACTCTTAAGTGCCATGTCTGTACCAAGGTTATTATCGTTAACGAAAAAACGAAAACGAGGTGTGATTTTTTTTTTTCGTTAACTGAAATAAAAACGAGCCTTTATAAAAAAAATGATAACTAACTGAAACTGTATTGTGTCTTTACAAAACTAACTAAAATAAAATAGAATTATAGAGAAAATGTCTTTAGTTTTCGTCTTTGTCAATGCTATAGAACAGCGGGGTATTTGCTCGCTTGCGAAACGTGAACTTCGTTGCTCGCGAGTTGCTCGAGTTTTCTACGCGCTCGCTGTGGTTCTTTTTGACAGTAAGGTGGAGACGGTGCTTTCAGGGTCCGATCGATGCTGCGAGGTGCGTCCGCTCCCGCCGCCCCCTCGCCATCCACGCCTTAAATCTTCGGCTGCTTTTAGAATAATTTATTTCCCCGTTAAGATGGTTCAGCTACTGTGGAGAAAAGGGCGCCGTCTCTCGCTCTTTAATCTCATGAAGTGCTCGGCGAGAACGACAGCTTTGTTTCTCCGACGCGCACTGAAACAAGCTCCGTATCTCACTCAGCATCTCGCCGTCGTAGACGAGCTTTGGCGTGTTTGGCAGAGCGCCGTGTACAACCAGTATGGATCAACCGATTAACCAATTGATCCATATACATAAAGCGCTCCGGATTATAAGGCACTGACGTTTTTTGAGAAAGTTAAAGCCTTTTAAGTGAACCTTGGAGTGCGGAAAATGCGGTATATTTACTTTAATACTACAAGAGGGCGCCCCGTTTGTTGAACAACGACAGGCGGACAAGAGCAGCCGTTTGGAGCGAGAGCCTTATTGTTTTATTAACCTGTCCGTTTAAATTGTTTGTGCTTCATCAACTATTGTTTCACATACCTAATATGCCTCATCATAAATATTTTTATATTAATTTCAAACTTTTAAAAATTGAAAATTAAAAAACTTTATTTATTTATTGTAAATGACCTCTCGCGGCCCACCTGCAGTACCTGCAGGCCCACACTTTGGAATCGCTGCTCTACAGTTTTATTGGGTTTTAGATTATTTTTTTTCAGATTAAGCTCTCTGAGACTCCCGGCTCCCAAGCAATGTCATGTGTGGCTCATTAATGGGTTTAGTAAATGCTGTTCACGTGTGTCTTTAGTCTATTGCATCTTGTGTAGACTCTTTACATATTTGTACTCATATCTACATTTTATGTTTTGTTGTTTTTTTGTGTCCAGTGGAATTTTTCTGGTTAATGACACAAACACACTGACTGACACATATTTCATAGTTGTCTTTTGGGGATGGCTGTTCATCTGTCCTAAATACATTTTTTGAAATGGTATGTTGTGTTGAGTTTGTATTACTTATTATAGCTTGTATCTACAATTCATTTTGAGCATTTTGTTTTGCAAGCAAAAAATGAAGCTTCCCTGACTGCGCCCCCCCCCTGGTCTACATTCTGCGGTAAAGAATAAAACTAATACTGAAACTAATAAAAACTAAACTAAAACTAAGCATTTTCCAAAAATAAAAACTAAACTAAACTAGCAAACCCGCTTTAAAAACTTATTTACTTAATTAAAACTAAACTGAAATTGAAAACAAAAAGTCAAAACTAAATAAAAATAAAAACTAGTGAAACATTCAAAACTATAATAACCTTGGTCTGTACAACATTTAAGCTCTTGGAAATAGGACGACAAGTTCAGCTCGCTTGGTCCTCAGGAGGAGTTCATCACATGCAAATGTTTTGAAGAGCGTGACAAGTGAGGGATTTTGCAGTGAAAAGCCTGTTAGTTTGTACTCACTGCAGGCCTGTGTGTTGCAGTAGACAGAGTCCACCCACAGGTTGGCAGAGCCAGTGTCAAACAATACTTGGAAGGACTGGGGAGGTGTTCGAATATTGATGGCACCGTTGTAGGTGGTCTGAGGAGCACATCGGTGTGAGGTAAAGAAAGTACCCAATAAAACAAAGTAAAAACCCATTAGTTAACGGTTTGAAAGGTATGTAAAAGTTAAACCTAGGATTTCTTACATCGGCGTAGTTATTGATGTACATGTTGGCAGAGCCAGCAAACTCATCAGCCTGTTGAGAGCTGGATCCTGGTAAGGCAGCTCAATCCCTTTGTCCCTCAGGGCCTCACGCATGGACTTGTGCTTCTGCAGAGGGATCCTGAAGAAGGAGAAAGCATATATATATATATATATATATATATATATAAATATATATATATATATCTTAAACCAAGCACATAATTGAAAATCAAAGAGGTGGAGTTTCCTTACTTGACGATTCCCTCTGCGAGCACCACACAGACCAAAACAGCTACAAGACACTTCATGATCCCTCCTGTACACAACGCACTGCTGGATGGATACAACTCTGCTTGGATCCGAGTAGGCTTTATATACACACGTTTAGACCCATATCAGCCAGAGCCTTATCAAGACGTCTGTCATATCAGTTAAGACAGGGTGACCCTTAGCGCCTTTCTCTTAGAAGCTACACGCTTGATTTGAACATCTAACCGCAGCCAAAAACCTCATAACCAAACATGTTGCAGAACAAGGACATAGATGTTATTCATTTGAGTAACTCTTTAGAATAATCTGATGGCCACATTGAATAACTCATTTAAGTACTTATTAGGTACTAATTATTATTTAATGCACCATGCACAAAAAACAATAAGCTATGTAGAAATCAGAGCTAAATGAAATGATACATTTAGAAGTATGCTAAATATATCGATGCTTAGTACTAAACTACGGCTGTAAATTCGGAATATGAAGTAATTTCTTGCATTTTGTAATATAAGCTTTCTATAGTTCCTCCCCTCCCAAAAAAAAATTCTAGATGCTAAAGTTGAATCTTCAATACAATTTATATTAAAAAAGTGAACAGCAAGGTCAAGCTTTAATATTAGTGTCTAACTGTAATCTTCCGCAAAGGAAGAAGACTTTGGTATCAGTGGCAGCTTAACCACACAATTTTATCAAAACCTTCGTGCCATTCAGCTTATCTTTATCTTTTAGTAGTGTTTAACTATTGATAGCTTTTTTCCTATAATACTTTAAGGACATGCAACTTATATAACACTTGTTTGCGTACATTTTATTATTTGTGCTTTGACTGAATTATAGTAAATCGCTTTTTATTTTCTCTCTCAGTTGGACGTTTTTCTCATTAAAGCAGACCAGTAGCCTGGGGGCCGTTTGATTACAGTGGCTGTTTCATGACCCCCTTTTGTTATACTTTTAGATGCATCAGCACGTCCTCATTTTCTCCATGGCACCAATGACATTGTGTAAACAGAAGCCCAGATGACTGTGTGATGTAAGCTTGCATCTATACCTAAAGCGCGCTGTCGGTATCTTTGAAGCAAAGCTGCAATGCGGCATTTCTTTGAACACAAACTGCTGTAGAACCGACCTCCTGCTGAAACTAATGGAGTGGAGATGAGATCGAGCCCAATAAAGAAAACTTGCAACAGGGAAACATATAGAATTCCCTGTTGCACTGGCCGGCTGCCAAAAGTTAAACAACTCCGGTTCACGAGGCACCTGCCAAAAATTCACTGACAACTCTTTTTACACCATTCACATGTTGTATCATTGAGCTTTATTTGTAATGTTGGCATTTTATTAACAATTTCAATTGTGTTGCGGTTGCTGCACCACTGAAATCTTGTCAGTGTGGATTGTTATGAGGGAAGAGAAGACAGAGGACGTGGCTGTGTGGCTGCCTCTGTCCATTACATGTAGACAGTGACGGCCCCTCAGTTGCAGCACGTCTCAGTGTGTGGGCATAAAGTCGACGAGACGTTTTCCTCTGGAGAGTTCACCGGTGGGACAGACGTGTTTCCTGTGTCAGTGTTCTTCCTCACAGCACGTAGTCAACGTGCTGTCTCGTGTGTTTCCAGGCCGGCCCACGACATCAGCCTGGAGGAGTTTGATGATGAAGATCTCTCTGAAATCACAGACGACTGCGGGATTGGACTCAACTATGACTCTGATCCATATGAGAAGGTGAGCCCCTCCTTTGTTGTTATGCGGTTTCTTTTATTGAAATTTGGACGTTCCCTGCTTGTGAGAATATAAATGGACATGAGTACAGTGCATGTTGTTTTACTGTTTACTAAGTGCAAATATTGTAGCACTATATTTGTATGACTTCTAAACCTTTGGAAAGACGGGTGCCTTCCTGTCTTGCTTTTCTAAGCCTGCTTTGGGTAAAAGTTCATTAATCAGGAATCAGGAGGAATCAGGAAACATTTATTAGCCAAAATATGTCAAACATACAAGGAATTTGTCTCGGCGGTTAGTGCGTGACAGTAGACAGACAAGACAACAGTGCACAAGTAATAAAATAAAGTGGAATGAAATGCTAATGCAATGGGTTAGTAGAATAAGGCTAAGGCTATGGGTTAGTATAAAACAAGGGAATAAAGTTAAAAAAAATTAAATATTAAAAAGTTAAAAAGAAAAATATTAAGCATAAAGTGCACTAACAAACAAGTAACAGACAAAGTGACAAGTGACAAAGTGATGAATTGCATTTAAAGTGGCATGTGCAGTATGAGGGGGAGTGACCGGTGGAGTGTTATAGTCAGTCAGTGGGGGACCGGCTCTGTTGATGAGCCCGACTGCCGACGGGAAGAAACTGTTGGTGTGGCGGGAGGTCTTAGTCCTGATGGACCTCAGCCTCCTGCCAGATGGAAGGGGCACAAACAGTTTATGTCCGGGGTGGGAGGGGTCGGCCGCGATCTTTTTAGCTCGCTTCAGAGACCTGGAAGCAAACAAGTCCTGCAGGGACGGCAGATTGCAGCCGATCACCCTCTCTGCAGAGCGGAGGACACGCTGCAGCCTGCCCTTGTCCTTGGCTGTGGCTGCAGCGTACCAGACGCTGATGGAGGAGCAGAGGATGGACTCCATGATGGCCGTGTAGAAGTGGACCATCATCGTCTTTGGCAGGTTGAGTTTCTTCAGCTGCCTCAGGAAGAACAACCTCTGCTGAGCCTTCTTGGTGATGGAGCTGATGTTCAGCTCCCACTTGAGGTCCTGGGTGATGATGGAGCCCAGGAAACGGAAGGAATCCACTATGGTGACGGGGGAGTCCCACAGGGTGATGGGGGAGGGTGGGGCTCTGTTCCGCCGGAAATCCACAACCATCTCCACTGTCTTTAGAGCGTTGAGCTCCAGGTTGTTCAGGCTGCACCACGACACCAGATGGTCAGACTCCCACCTGTAGGCGGACTCGTCCCCACCAGAGATTAGTCCAATGAGGGTGGTGTCATCCGCAAACTTCAGGAGCTTGACGGACTGGTGGCTGGAGGTGCAGCTGTTGGTGTACAGGGAGAAGAGCAGAGGGGAAAGAACGCAGCCTTGGGGGGAACCGGTGCTGATGGTCCGAGAGGCTGAGACATGTTTCCCCAGCTTCACGTGCTGCTTCCTGTCAGACAGGAAGTCAGTGATCCACTTGCAGGTGGAGTCGGGCACGTGCAGCTGGGAGAGTTTGTCCTGCAGCAGAGACGGGGTGATGGTGTTGAAGGCAGAGCTGAAGTCCACAAACAGGATCCTGGCGTAGGTTCCTGGGGAGTCCAGATGCTGGAGGATGTAGTGGAGGGCCATGTTGACAGCATCGTCCACAGACCTGTTGGCTCTGTAGGCGAACTGCAGGGGGTCCAGGAGGGGGTCGGTGAGGGACTTCAGGTGGGTCAGGACTAGCCGTTCAAAAGACTTCATGACTACAGAGGTCAGGGCGACGGGCCTGTAGTCATTGAGTCCTGTGATCCTGGGCTTCTTGGGGACAGGGATGATGGTGGAGGCCTTGAAGCAGGCTGGTACGTGGCATGTCTCCAGGGAGGTGTTGAAGATGTCAGTGAACACCGGAGACAGCTGGTCAGCACAATGCTTCAGGGAGTGAGGGGAGACTGAGTCCGGACCGGCTGCCTTACGGGGATTTAGTCTTCTAAAGAGCTGGTTAACGTCTCTCTCCAGAATAGAGAGGGTCGCTGCTGGTGGGGGAGGGGCAGGTGATAATGATGAAGAGGCGTGAGCACCTGATTGGCTGGGGGAGGGAGGGGAGGAGGACTGCAGCAGGTTGGTGGAGCTGTGGGGGATGGGAACAGGACATTGTCTTTCAAATCTGCAGTAGAACTCATTGAGCTCGTCTGCCAGGCGGAGGTCATTCATGGACTGGGGGGTTTTTGGCTTGTAGTTGGTGAGGTGTTTGAGGCCTCTCCAAACCGAAGCAGAGTCACTTGCTGAGAACTGTTGTTGGAGTTTCTCAGAGTACAGTCGTTTAGCGTCTCTCACCGCCTTGCTAAACTTGTATTTTGCCTCTGTGTACAAGTCTTTGTCCCCGCTCCTAAATGCCTGATCCTTCTGCAGGCGTAGTGTTCTGAGTTCCGCTGTGAACCAGGTTTGTCGTTGTTGTAACTCACCCTGGTGCATGATGGTACACAGCTGTCCTCACAGAAGCCGATGTAGGAAGTTACAGCCTCTGTGAACTCATCCAGACTGTCAGTAGCAGTCCTGAAAACATCCCAGTCTGTGCAGTCAAAGCACGCCCGAAGATCCTCCAGCGCCTCACTGGTCCACTTCTTGAATTCCCTCACCACAGGTTTGCAGAGCTTTAGTTTCTGCCTGCATGCAGGAATCAGATGGACCATGACGTGGTCAGAGTGTCCCAGTGCAGCACGAGGGACGGCGTGATAAGCCCTGCTTACTGTGGTGTAGCAGTGATCCAGCGTGTTCTCCTCTCTGGTGGGGCATTTAATAAACTGTCTGTATTCAGGGAGTTCATGGGTGAGATTTCCTTTGTTAAAGTCCCCGAGGACAATAACTAAAGAGTCCGGGTTGGTCCGCTCCACACGCCGTATCTGGTCGGCGAGTGTCCGCTGAGCCTCGTGCACGTTGCCCGCCGGCGGCATGTAAACACCGACCAGGATGAATGAAGCGAACTCACGGGGGGAATAAAAGGGTTTGCAGTGGATGAAGAAAGTTTCCAGATCAGGAGAACAGTGTTGTAGGATCACCGTTACGTCGTTGCACCAGCTGTTGTTGAAGTAGAAGCAGATTCCTCCACCCTTCGTCTTGCCGGAGAGCTCCGTGTCGCGGTCCGCTCGGAGCAGCTGGAAGCCCGCCAGCTGGAGCGCGGAGTCCGGTATCGATCCGCAGAGCCACGTCTCCGTGAAGCACAAGACGGAGGATGTAGAGAAGTCTCTGTCTCTCCTCATCAGCAGCTGGATTTCCTCCAGTTTGTTGCACAGTGAGCGCACGTTGGAGAGAAAGATGCCCGGCAGCGGAGTGCGAGAACCCCGCCTGCGGAGTCTCACAGCGAGCCGGCCCGTTTTCCTCTCCGACGGCGTCTCACCGCGTGACGAAAGGTGAGCGCACCTTTGACTATAATGTCCAGTAATTCCACGGAAGAAAGCAGGAAAGTTGGAAGTAACTCCGCTGGAGTTGTTCCACGGATGTTCAAGAGCTCATCTCTGGTGAAAGAGCTCCGGGAATCGCAGCAGGAAACATAATTAACAACAAAAACAACAAAAAACGAAGCGCACCGAAGCACCGAGGCGGCCATCAACGGCGCCATCTTGTAGACAAACATCTGCAGGTAATACAGGCAGGAAGTGGTGGTTTTTAGTTAGTTGAAGTCTCTAGAAGTTTATCCTCAGCTTCCAAAAATGTTCATATTAAACTTTGCCAAAATAAAGACACATCTTAAGTTAAAAAATGTTCCACACATTTTGTTCCCACAGCCATTACAGAATAAACGAGAGTTTTATATAATCTCAAGCTTTTAATCTAGAGCTCTGGCTTCAAAATTGTAGTTTTTACTATTTTACACCATTCTCTGTGGTGCATAAAATGTGCTATTTCCACTAGGGGCATTGCAGCGGTTCTATGGGGCTGTTTAGCAAAATTATACAACTAAAATAATGCATAGGTGTTGAAATGAGTCATTTCAGTAAGCCACTCGGCTGGGTGCAGGAGAAGATCCTGTTCCTTACTCGCCTTTACAAAGAATTACAATACAACTCAACGAGGTCAACCTGAGATTGGCTCCAAATTTAAACACATCATACACAGACATAACCAATGGCTCCTACGGGTGTTGATATGGATGTCAGAAAGTATGTGCGTGTGGAAATAATTGTCTGTTGGTGTATGTGTGTTTGTGACAAGCTGTATTAACATTATATTGTACTGCAAGTCACAATTCTTCATACACATCGCTTCACCCACCCACTAGAGCCCTGCCTTCTAAATTACAGTATTTTTTGGATCTATTCCATTCATCTGGATAAGTTTTCCCTTTGGGTCACATACATGCTATTTTCCCAGGTAATGGAAGGCCTTTTTAAAGGATTAGCACCATCTCAAAACCTGCTACTCACTTGGTTAGAATTCTAAGAATTAATACGTTTTACGCCGTTATGATTACGGCGCGGTGGAAATTACATTGATCTGTAGCATATTTATAACCAATCCACTAAAGGAATCTTTTCTTCAGAGACAAAATGAGAAACGTGCATGACTTGGAGTGGCGCATTCTCCATGTACTCGGGATCTGATCTGAGCAAATGGGAAACATTCACGGAACTCCTCAGTAGATCATTTAAATATTGATTATTATAGTATTTCCGAGCATCGTCTGCAAGGGACTGTGTTATGAAGTATAAGCAAATAATTGAGTCATTAGCCGTCATCATCCCGAATGCCTTAATTATACAATTTATCAGATGTATTACCTCATACTACTCTCTGCCCACCTCCCTGCTGCCCGGATGCAAATGTTTAATGGTGGTGGCTTGGAGCCACAGCTGCAGCAGAGGGTGTGTGACCCAGTGCAGTTTGCTGCTATGCAGAGACAACCTCTCTCCCCCCTCCCTCCCCTTTCCCTCCCCCCTCCCTCCCGTGTGTCCTCCTTTCCCTTCCTGCTATGCAGAATGTTACTCAGAGACAGAGCTCAGGTTCCCTCCCCTCTTGTTCTCTTGCACCTCTCCTCTCCTCTCCCTTTGCCCCGTAAAGCTTTGCGCCACCATCTCTCTCTCTCTCTCTCTCTCTCTGTCGCTGTGCCGGTGACTGGAAACGGATTTAGCTCAGGGATGGTGAGGTTTAAGCTCTGAGCTAGATATTTTGCTTCCCTCACTTTAATCCACCAACAAAACACATCATGGATAGTGAGGAAAACCCTTCTGTGAGCTATGTTTGCGCAACACGTAAGGAGACCTCAGGAGAAAGCGAGACCGTAAAGGGTGGATTTATATTTCTTGTGGCAAAGCGGTCATATCGTGGTAAGACATGCCTCAGCGGCCTCCGTCTAATCCTGTGTCCTTCCCTTCTTCGCTACCTCGTTCCCTTATCCACACAAACAAATCAGACACTCGTCAGCAGAGGCTCTGACTGCTCTCTTCACAAACCAGAGACAGTGTCCGTCCTGGTTACGTTACATTGTCCAGAGGGAGTAATCTTGCTGACATGGGACGTACAGGACACACCCAGTTGACCTCTGAGAGTGCACAACAGACAAACAAAGGCAGAAACAGAGAATTTTGCCTGAGTATTTCACATGGTATTGGTTTTTGCCTGCCGAAGGGTGGGTGACACTCGTGTCAGCTCGTCAGCAGCAGCGGTCCCTCCCTTGTGTGCCGCACTCTGCTGATGAGGAGAGAGGCTTCTGGTTATCGTGTCGGTATGATTCAGCCATACTGGGCAGGATGTCTTTGATGTTTAGGAAGAACAGCCAAACTCAACAGTGGGATTATTCTCTGGCCCCAATCCCCAGCTCTGATTAATTCCAATTGGTTATGGGGTTCACTAATCTGTGATAGGAGCAAATACACACGATCAAAACCCAATAAACTCACACACACATGTTCACGCGATGCCATGAAGTTTACCCTACCATCCGGGGCGAAATGCAGGAAATCAAAAGGGGGTTGTTTTTAATGTCTGATCTGACACACATGGACCAAACCATTGCATTTCTGGCTTTAGCGTTTGGCTTTAGGGGATTAGGTTTTACAATGTGTTTTCAACTGTGTGATTTTTGATTTTTAATTATTTTAAACCGAGCATATCAACATCAACGAGCGACCACAGCGGAGGGAGACAATCCCTTTTTTTGTTTCTGAATCTCTCCCCTGGGTCCCACATAAACACACCCTGCTGCTTTCTGCCGCATGCTGCCCCTTATTGTTCACTTCCTGTCTCTCCTACATCCTTCTCTGTCTCTCTAGAGCCCTTATTGAACACCATGAGTTCATGCATAATTCACTATGTGACGGAGCAGTGGTGTCTGTGTCTCAGCTGTGGTGCTGGTTTAAAACGTGGAAATTGAAAGATACACTGATAGATGGAGGTCATCACTCACTAGGTGGTCTTCCCTAATTGGAAGCTAATGAACATCTGTCATGTGCGCCTGCAAAAAAAAACGGCCAAGACGACGAGCCACGTTTGGCAAATGGGCTTTACGTGGGCGCATCTGCACCCACGCACAAAAAAGAATCGGATCAGGATGTGAGCCTAATTAAACAATGAGTGCAGATGTAGTAAATATTACATTGGCTTTATTTTTGCATTATTAATAAATCCAAGACTAATAGCTTGGCGTATTTGCCCATAGACACCTCCCTATTGAGTTACTGTTGTGGAGCAGAAATGGGTGGATAAATGTTAGTCATGAGCAAAAAATAAAGTGCGTTTCTGGCTGTGTAGCAGTACCGTTTGTATGCATTTGGGCGTGTCTGTCTATGAAAAAACAAAAAAGTACAATTTTAACTTGGGAATAAATTCATTTCCACTGCAGCTGTGCGCTCTTAAGTGTCTTCCTTATGTGTGTGTAAGATGACTAAACCCATTCACCACACCTCCCCTGCCAGCTGGAGAGTATCACTATATACCTGCAAGTCCACTGGCAGATGCAGGAGGGAGAGTCGTGGGGCTGGATGGGATGATCATGTGGATTGCTCCTCACCGATGCACAGCTCTCATCTGTGGTTCTCTGCTGTCCGTCAGGTGGCCTTGCCAAAGGATGTCTCCTGACAGTGCAGATTATTCTCCGGAGTAGATGTGGCATTTTCACAACCTAGTTTCTGGATCACAAGAGTAAAAAGGTCACACAGCCCCAGTGATGGATGATAATGGGTCACTGTGAGGAAACAGCATTGGGAATCTTGACTGCAGATTACTAGAATAAAAGGTTTCTTAATATATTAAGCCTCACTGTGGGAAAAAATGAATTAAAAAGCACATCCCGGAGAGCTGAATAAGGTGCAGAAATACAGACTTCACTTGTTCGGTACCGAGGAGATTTGTTAGCTCATCAGGAAAAAATCAGAATCAGGGATTGATTAGGGATTGATTAGGCAAAGACACAAAGAAAAAGGACCTTTCACAGAAGAAACCCCCTTGACATGGGACAAAGAAGAACTGGCACAGAGACGGGAACACATGGGTTGAATACACTGGGGAGTTGTGGCTCCATCACTCACAGGTGGATCAGATCTGGGGCGGGGAAGACCATCACAAAGGCAGGAAATAAAGACTGAAACGAGGGGAGACTATGAAAAGAAAACAACAAACTTAAGGTGCTATACTGGAATTGACACATACACAATACCTTTACAAACGTTTCTTCATATCCTGTGAGCTAAAAGACAGCAACATTGTTCTGGTAATTAGATATCGCTCTGCATATTCATGTGAACCCTCTCGGTAGTTGAGTGTTAATATATGTGGATGCAGCAGGCGTCAGCAGTATTGTATTGGATGTGCGAGAGAAAGAGAGAGAGCTTTGCTTCCTCCATTAAAGAGAGGCAGAGAAACTGCTGCGCTGTTCCGACTGCAAAGCCAATCAATCAATCAATGTGTTTTCATTAACAAAGTCAAATGATCAGATACAATATTAGAAATGTTTATTGTAGTGTCCATGGAAACGATTATTTAGCAGCTTTAATACATCTAAGTGTAATTAGGGATCGCACAATATGGACTTTATCGCAGATCACAGTAAATTGCAAGTTGAAACTTGAGAGATTTCTTATTGATCCATTCTTATTTCATTTCCCCACCCTATGTTTCTCTTTCATCAACATCTTTCACTTCCCAAATGATTGCTCCCTCAGTCCATCCTCAAGACTACTCGATGCTTCTGCCGTGTTTGCTAATTATTGACTTAATTGACTTAACCTTTAAACCCTCATTTCACGGGGAGACGGTAATGCTGCTGGTCTGCAGCCTGAACCTCTCTGTCTTATGCAATCACATGCATGAACAGATTCCTTGTAATCACGCTGTGTTTTATTCGGGCCATCTGTGCTCTCCTTTTTGTATTCATTCCTTAGACGGGCCGGTTCTTGGCACAGCTTTTAAATGACAATGGAGGTAATCGGCAGCGGATAGAAGCTAGGGGCTTTTCACTTTTGTCAGCTTACTAGATAACGCTTTCCCCTCTGCTGTCGAGGCACAGATGCTTTAATTCGTCCAAATTAGGCTGAAGGTGTGAAAGCATAAACAATCCTTTACTCTATCTCCTGTAACCCCATTACAAGTGTCTCTCCTACTCTCTCTTACGCCACCAGGACTCCCTCATTTTGGAAAAGAGCGACATGAACCACCCAGTGTGCTCCTTCCAGTATGACTTCCAAGAGTTTGAGATGATCGACGACGAGGACGACGACGAAGAGGAGGACGAAGACGAAGAGCTTGACCCTGACGCTCCTCCGTCCCCCTCTGCCTCCCCCCCTCTCTCCCCTACTCTTGGCACACTGAAGAGCAGACCCACCACACTAAACCTCACCACTGCCGTATCACAGGTAAGCAGTGGGAAGATCTGGTCCTAAACACACACACAACAGCGTTCGTGTTTTATTTTGAGCTTTTGCAAATGTACGGTTCAGTTTCTTTTGAATATCTCCTTCTCTCTCTGCTCATTAGGATTCACTTAACAATAACAGCAGTCTGTCCCCAAAGAAAGGAAGCTGGCAGGACTCTTTACGCAAGACCTCACACGGTAAATGCACAATAGATTTGGGTATGGACAAAGTTTTTCCTTTTAATTAATTGGTTAGTCCAGTACACAGGATTCCTCGCAGAAGACCCAACAGATTGTGTTTCATCTTTAAAGAAGTTGTCGGAGAGAATTGTAATTTTTTGCATGTACGTTGTTTTTCAGGAGTTTGAAGCAGTAAACGTAACATTCATTTATTTATCTGGACAACACCATACGAAGTGCTACCATTGAGCCATGTACCTTTATGTACTTTACACACTGAAGGTGCAGAGATATAAAATACTGCCTACAACAATCTATGCAGGGCACATTGGATGTTTATTTTGAGTTTCTTAATTTGAATGAATTGTCCCAGATGGGCAGATTTATTGTTGCCTTGTTTTAAATTATAAATAATCCTGACACTGCAGCCATTACCAAGGAATATAGACATCTCCTCTGCCTGCAGGTCGTCTGTCTCCAACCCACTCGTGTCTGGAGAATGGAGGCCACGTGACAGGCCAGTGCCCGGCCTCTCCGGTTTCCCAGGCACCAGGGTCTCAGAGCAAAGGTATTCCACCCAAACAGGCAGGGGAGGGCGGGAACCCCCAGTCCCCTCACAGGCCCCTCCTCTGTGACGTGGAGGGCAACAGGCGGGAGAGGCCCGAATACGGTAACAAAAAGGCCGGCATGGCAAAATTTGAGCCCCTTCCATCATCATCAGTGTCTTGTAGAGGCGGCATGTTAAAATTGACTTTACGTGAATTATACTTCACTGTATGTTTAGACAAACACTGCACATTGATTCTTACAAAGCTACTTGCACTAGACCGCTCTAGGAAATTAACTCATTTTAATCACACATATTCTTTTTCTAGATTGATTAGCATTGTTGGTCATTAGGCTCTTTTCGAATGTTATCTTTTTTATTGTCTAGATTACCTCCACAACTCTTACAACCCATCATCTTCTCCGTAACCCTCAATGTCGTCCTGTATTTTCATCCTCTAATGTTATTTTCCTTGTTCGTCCTCACCTTTTTTATCTTCACACCCAGGCTCGTTTGGTCAACATAACACCCACCCTCGCTCTGGTGACGCCACCGAGCCAAAGGCCGACCCTTCGATCCACACGACCAGAGCACCGTCTGTGGATGAGCACTCCCAGTGTTCAGAGGTGGACCACGACCTCAACAGCGACCACAACCACAAACACTCAAAACAGCGCACCACTGACACTTACACTATCACCAGTGAGTTGGGTGTGGAGCACGAGAACGACCTAGACGGAACCAGCCGTTGCTTGTCGTCCACTGCGCCCATGAGAGCCAACGCCGGTGCCGACACGCCCTTTTCCGACGAGGAGCTGGAGAAAGATTTTGAGGTGGAGTTCATGTGCAAGGAGACGTACGACATGGTGTGCAGGGAGAACCAACGGTCGTCGTATGTGGAATTCCCCTCCATTGAACCCGCCTCCTTCACTAGCTACGTGTCCTCCAGCCGCTTGGATGCCCTGAGCCGTTCCAGCGGTTCAGATGCAGCAGTCTCTGCAATTGAGGCAGCAGCTAACGACTCAACATCTTCTTCCTCGTACCCAGGGATAGCAGATATGAACCAGCAGGGTTACATGACGTCTGACCAGGATAGGGACCTCAGCTCTCCAGGCTCTGACTCTGACATCGAAGGGGAGCTGGAGGCGGCGTTTGCCTGTGGAGGCACCGTGGTCTCCAACATGATCTCCTCTATCTCAGAGACAGAGCTAGATTTGAGGAGCGATGAGAGCAGCAGTGGACGCTCGTCTCATCTCACCAACTCCATCGAGGAGGCCAGCTCACCTACGTCAGAACAGGAACTGGACCTGGATGCAGAGTTAGAGCAGGACAGTGGCATTGTGGCATTTAAAGCATCTCTACTCTTGGGCCAGCCTGACCCGATCAAAGAAGGGTCCACTCCGCTCTCTTCTTCGCCTCTACCCTCACCTACTCTTGCTACACCATCCTCTGTTGACTCACCCATCTTACCTTCTGAGTCATACGATGATGATCAGGCTCTGACGGGGCTGAAGAATATGGATGATGAGTGGCCCTTTGAGCACCAGGCTGACCCAGATGAGACTCTGCCTCCATCCCAACAATGTGAGGACAGCCTGTCCAGGCAGATGGTGCTGCAGATAGAACCAGACCACAGTCTGGAGAGCTTCAAACGTTCATTTTACCTGCCAGTGGGACCCAGGCTGATGCCCAGTGCAGATGAATATGATGAAACCAGTGAGGGAGACTCTGAATCAGAAAGCGAAGACGACCTGAGTGAGAACTCAGACTCACCGTGGCTCCTTAGCAACCTCGTCAACAGGATGATCTCAGAGGGCTCGTACCCAATCAGCTGTCCCGAGGACTGCTTCAAGAGGAAGGCCTCCTTGTCGGACACCATCTCGCCGTCCTCAGACATTGGAGACGGAGATGGTTTCATTAATGAGGACCAAGAGAAGAAATCAGAATTGGAGGGATCAGAGAAAGAAGAGAAGGAAGGTGAGGGGTACAGAAAGGGTGTGATGGAGCCAGGAGAGAAAGGGAAGAGCATGGACTCTTTAAATGGGGGAGCACTGATTAGTCCCTGTCTGTATACGAACAGCCTTGCTGGTCACACCATAACCCCATTGGTCTTGGAGCACTGTGCAAACAATGGCAGGGGAACTGCAGAATTTCACTCCAACTATACCGCTAAAGACTCTGAGAAGAACCTAACGGAAAAACTAACCAAGAATGTCAGGAGACAAGAGGAAGATCTAGAGCCTAATAACGACTTGATAATGCTGGAGAGCAGGAAGGAGCTGGACTCATCGAGCCTCAGCGAGAGTGTGGTCAGCGACAAGGACGAAGGGCGAGAGACAGAGCCGAGGCCCAAGAGCCGTTCCTCGGCCTCTCTTGAGCGCATCACCGAGGTTAAACACAGCCTGACGCTGGACATACCCACTGCCCAGACTAACCGCTGCTTCAGCCTCACCTACTCCACTGACAACGACGAAGAGGAGGACGACGAAGACTCTTACCCATTCCTGGGTGGCTTAAGGGAGTCCTACCGGGATTGCGACTTAGATCTTGACAGTTCACCACCAATTGATTCTAGTGTGCAGGATCGTCCCTTACCTGACCATGACCTCCCACTGTGTCAGAAAGATCTGCCTCTGAGGGAGCCTAATGAAGATGATGGACTGGCCTATGACTCCATGAAATACACGCTAGTGGTGGATGAGAATACTACTCTGGAACTAGTCAGCCTCAGAAGGTATGCTCTGATGTTTGAAATGTGTCGAAGCTGAGAAATAAATGGCGCGTGTGTTTAAAATTAGGATTTTAATTTGCATAATTCTTTAAGGGTTTCTTTGAAATGTTTTCATTGAAGTACTTCTGAATGATCTGCTTCTAGTTACAAATCATGCCGTCAGTACTTGTGGATGTCTAGCCGTAACGGGCGAACTTCCTCCTATCAGGTGCACCTCCGTTCTGAGTGATAACAGCGAGCTGTCCACACTGTGCGACGAAGAGCCTTTGGAGACGAGCATGTTGAACTATGGTCGGGAGGATGAGGAGTTGAGGCCAGAACTTCTCAGTTCTTCTGAGGACTCATCTCCCGAGGCTGACCTCCCATTCTCCAAGAAGTTCCTCAACGTGTTCGTCAACAGCACCTCCCGCTCCTCCAGTAAGTTCCCCATAACCCTGTTCAGGCACTTCATCCTTCATTTTTTTTAAAAGAGTAGTTTCATTGAAACAGTGTAACTGGTGTCTGTTTACGGTGCAGGCACAGAGTCCTTTGGACTTTTCTCCTGTACCATCAATGGAGAGGAGAGGGACCAGACACACAGGGCAGTATACAGGTAAGAACTCACAGCACATTCATATTTAATAATGGAAACTCAATTGCTGCATCAATCAGATTTATAATAAACTCGAGACCGGTGTGAGATCATCTTGTGGTAGGCTCACACCGGCATCTTCTCCACAACGTACCTCATAAATTCCCGGGTCCTCGCTCAGACCACTCCTATCTTCAGGTTCAGCTCTCATTTTGATATCAACAACACAACTGTAAAGCGCCTTGCACGTTTTCCTGCCGTCACGCGCCCACAGAGGTAAAAAACACCTGGCAGATCACTCAATACTGCTTCTGCAGTGTTTCCAGCTGCAGACCAACACTACTACTTTCGAGCTTCACTAATTGTATTAGAGAGGAGAGCAGATGTCCAAACTACAGCTGAGCTCGAGCGCTACTAATTACATCAGTCACCTGTCTGTGCTTGAGTGTTGGCGAGCTAGTGGGGAAGCTACATGCACCTCCATGCATGCATGTCCATGTTGTGAATGTATAATTATGTATTTGCTTTCCTCCCTGCACTCAGAGGTCATTGTCTCTCTCCACCCATCCCAGAGACTAACTCTGTCAGCTGTTTCATCCTTCTTGTCTCTCTGAGAAACCGGAAACTCAAAACAGATGCTTCCTGATCAAATTACCTCCACTCTATAAGACATCCGACAGCAGTGTACCATGTAAGGACACATTTAACAGAGGTTTTTTGTTTTTTAGTCCTCCTCCTCTGCTGCTCCCTGCAGGTTCATTCCAAGACATGCAGATGAGCTGGAGCTGGATGTGGATGACCCTCTATATGTGGAGGAAGAAGAGGATGACTACTGGTACCGAGGCTATAACATGAGGACAGGGGAGAGGGGCATATTTCCTGCCTTTTATGCCAATGAGGTCAAAGGCCAGTCTAAGGAGCTGTTGGGTGAGCTGACACATTTACTGCCTTTTCCTCCTCTCAAAAGAGGTCAAAAGAGTCTCCTTTACATTATTTTGCGTGTCCACGTTGCTCTCCGTAGGAATGAAACGAAATCCAGCATGGATCGAGACTTTCGGCGTTCAGTTTTTGGGGTCAGTTGAGGTTCCTAATCACCAAGGCAACGGCATTCTTTGCGCCGCAATGCAGAAGGTAACCTAAGTAGAAAACAACAAAACACACTGCAATTGAACGAAGCAGACCCAAACATGTACGAAATACTGTGTGCACCATTAGGGAATGTTTGTTTTGACACGTTAAATATCTTCTGTTAGATTGCTATATCGAGGAAACGGACAGTACATGTGCGACCTCCTTCTCTGTGTGAGCTGGAGATTAGCTTGCAAGGAGTGAAACTGATCATGAGCCTGGAGGATGATTATGACGCCCTTGATGAGGTATAAAAAACATATTGTAAATAAAATTAATTGTTAAGATTTTATTCAAAGTCAGACTTTGATTTAAGATGGAAGAATGTTGCATTTATGTTTTGTTTCTTTCTTCCTATCTGTCTCTGATAGTATGACAGATGCAGTCACTTCTTTCAGATGAAAAACATTTCCTTCTGCGGATGCCATCCGAGGAACAACTGGTAAAGAAATATTGTTTTTCGGCCCTCGTGTCAGCAGCGTAGAGTGCAACATCAGACTGATATCCTTATATTGTACTATTCTATCTGCAGCTACTTTGGCTTCATCACTAAGCACCCGATGCTGAACCGATTTGCTTGCCACGTATTTGTATCCCAGGAGTCCATGCGACCTGTAGCAGAGTGTGTTGGGTAGGTACAAATGTCATTATTAGATGGATTACTTTAGTCAAACATAAAACAATACACATTAATGTCTTGTTTCTATCAATCTTTTACATTTGATATATTTTGCTAACAGGTATTGAAAGAGATTGCAGGTCATGTCACTACAGGATTTATTGTCTTCTATTAGCGTGCAGGTGTGCCTTTAAGTCCATCTGTCATTTCCACAGACGCGCCTTCCAGGAATACTACCAGGAACATCTGGAGTATGCCTGCCCCACAGAAGACATCTACCTGGAGTAACAAGTGTTGCCATGACGACCACCTCCTTTCTTCGCAGCTTGTGTGTGTTCATCAGGTTTGCCAGCAGAGGGCGCTGTCAGTGGGGTCTTCCCTCCATTGTAAAATACTCCTCTGTGTCCCTCTAAAACGTAGTTTCTACAGTATGCTAGGCTTTTGACTGACTTAATTCCTCCCCCTCTCTCTTTGTTCATATTCATTGCCTAGATGGGTTTATTGCCTGTTCCTTTGACCTTTTTCTATGTTACACAACTAAGATGCCGAGCACGTGTTTATTTAAAGGTTCCTCTTTCGAAATGAATACAATATACCTACTACTGCGATTTTACTTTGCATGGCTAGTAGGGTTACAGCACACAGATACACTAAGAAATACACATATCCATGAGAATGGCAAGCAGCTCAACAATCAGTACAGGAATGGTGTAGAATCAAGAGGTCGGAGTTTGATTAACTGTAAATATGTATTTGTTCAATATTGACAAACTGCTAATTTGATTTCTACCGATAGTGACATTGGAGCAATGTAGAGAGAGTGCAGTGAACTGTCCTTGGTCCAAGCTTTCCCTTGTGTCGCGTACAAGACGTAGTGTGTGTTCTAAATACATGTATAGCAAGTAGACATCCAGACGACTCATCCAGGCTAATTAAGAAACACTCACAGCTGATACTGATGGAGGATTTGTGTGGTTGTTGTGAGTATTGATGACTCACTTTGACAGGAGCAACTGCTAAAAGATATTTTAAAGTAATGATCTGTGAGTATCATTTACCACGCAGATAACTTATTCAGGGTGGATTAAGGGCAGTGCAGTCAGCACATTTGGATCATGTGTAATTTTGTCCAGTCCTCAAAGTTAAACTGCTTGCTGACTTTCACATTGGGGAGCTTTCTTTACAAATTATTCAACTGTTAAATTTTGCAAATCATAGATCACGGTATGTTTTGCAAGGTTGATTTTGAGTTTCAGGTAAAAGAAAGCAAAGGGACAATGAAAAGCCATATTCTTACTCGTCCGGCGGGTTAACTCTGCTTGTCACTGACGTCCTATGCCTCCCTCTTCTTTCCACCCAACAGTCTCAATGAGGGAAATGGAACGACTAACAGTTAGCTGCCACGTGCCCGTAATTCTGTTTTGCAGTGTGCCTACTGTAGGAGAGCGTCCGGTCTGATACCTGGTATCACAATGTAATCAAACCTTTAATAAAGCATTAAACGGGAGGTTTTATAGTTATGTAAATGCTTAGACTTTGATCTTGTTTTTTTTTTTAAGTATGATGGATAAAAGGGATGGAAACATCCTTCCACTGAGAACAATCGTTTACTGTTCTCAGTCTGGTTCAAAGGTTGAAGCATCATTCACACAATAACCTGCGCTGAGGTCGCTGTAGCACACCATAGCTTACAGTCCAGCACCTTAAAAACAGAGGAGGGGTTATGTTAAACAACTAATGCACCCACTACTGTCATCTGAAATATCAGGCTTTACCGCCCCTGACCATCACCGATGTTCTTTCAGACACTGTTTAGCATCTTGTTCTGCTGCTCTCAGTTGTAGTCCACAAGAACACACACCTCAGTTCACTGTTGATATGGCAGAGGGGGGCTTATCTGCATATGTATTGCTGTCAGTTAGATCATGTATATATAATAGATAACCTAAGATTCTGTGCTGTGTCTTTTATGTTGAGTATGTTATGAACTGATTATGTACATTAAAACAAAAACAAATTTAATTAAAAAGGAAGGATCACAACCAGACAAAAACCTCTGAAAGAAAAGAACATCGAAATCGGTGACCTGCAATAATTTTATTTCAGTGTCTTATGTTTGAAACTGGTGGCGTTTGGGTTCCTGACAACTCTGCAGACAGGCGTCAGCGGTACATTTAGGACACATTAGTTAGATGTGACATTATTAGTGAGACCAGACCATTGACCTAGCTGCCGATTATTGCAATCACCTTTGAGCTCCAACAATGTGAAGGATAAATGGTCTGTGTCTTCTTCCTTCTAATTGTTTTTCTCTTTCATCACAGCCCAGTTAAATACCTTCTTTCCACACAGCTACACAAAAAAACCCTCTGAGGACGATCTAGTCTTCACTGTATATCTAGAGCAAAGCATTGTGGCAGACCAAATATATCCTATCTTGTATCTTTAAAACCAAGGACTTGTAAAATTAGTTAAAATTCCAGGGAAAAACAAAGAAAAAAATGACAAAAGAATCACTCTGCCTTGTCATGGGTTTGGTCTTATAAATAAAATATATGCTTGATGTTGGACCTTTTTTGTTGTCTTTATTGTTTGGATCTGCTCTTTATTGGTTTGTGTACAGAGAATGTGGAGGTGAAAAGGTGTAAATAATAAAAAACAGTATGGGAAGTATTGGGAATAAAGTCTGGTCAATATAAATATTAAAGAAATCCTCTCTTCACTAAGGAAACTGTTTGCAAAGTTAAAAATCAGCCATCACAGAACAGTCTTCAAGCAATAATCAGTGCAGCACCTGTAGCGCGTCCCACACCTTCAGCCGCTGCGTGTTGTCCCATCAACACTTGCAGCAGCTGGGCTTGGGGCTACACTGAGGATTGCAGCAAGGCTCCAGGTTTGGGTCCGATCCTTTGGATATCTGGCCTTCCCCAAACACCATGGAGGCTTCAAACTGCCCCTTCACTTCCATGATCCTCTCCAGCATGGCTTGCAGGTCAGGATTTCCCATCAGGGGGAGAGGGTAGCACTCTGAGGGGTCAGCCTCCAGGTCAAATATAAGAGGGGGGTCGTGGGCCTTGAGGGCTGTGAATACGGAGCAGTCTTGGTCTTGAGTAGTATCGCTGTGGGTGGCACCTGACATGGAAAAGAAGCACGAGTCAAAAACCAAAACACCTCTAGTCTGACTGGGTGGTTGATCCGTCGGGTAGAATATCATCACCTCCCTTTTACTTTTACTAAAAGAATGAATGGGATAATGCTGCATTCGCATGGATTCAAGCAGACTGAATGCAGCTGACCGGATATCACGTTAGTGGACGTGAGCAGGGTCGATACAAACGTTACCGTGCAAAGATCAAATTTTGTAACTTTGGACATCCTCTGCAACGGAAATTAAAATTGGATGTCATGCAGCTCACAGCTCCCAACGTGGACACGTTTGTTTGTAATTTTGCCAAACAGCTACATCTTATTGCTAATAGAATTAAATAAAATAGCCGGGAGTAACAATACCATATATTTTATTCTATCAGCACAGACAAAATATGTGTGTTTTATTTTGATGTCCTGTACAAATAAATCAGCTTGGTTTTGTATAATTTCAATCTCTTCAGAGGGTGAGGTAAGACGTTTACCTTTCCTTGGTTGACAAGAATTTGGAATTTGGCTACTGCCAGACTGGCAATGTTTGGGAGGACATCTAGAGTGCTGGCCATCTGATGAGTCCCACCTAGAGAGACGCATACAGACAAAGAGCAAGCAGCAATAACTAAAAGGCTGACGTATATTGGTTTTGTGGTGTCTTTTTGAAAATAAGACAGTGGTAAAGTTTAGCTTAGGGACTGAAATAAGCAAAAACACCAGTAGGGCCTTTGAAAGGGGAGTATACACCAAGTGCAAAACTCTGGTTTAGTGCAACAGGAAAAAAATAAATAAAAATGTTGCTGTGACAGCGTCACTGAGCCTAAACTTCCTGTGCGGACGAATGAGGAGTCCACACCTGGCATGATGGTCCCTGGCCAGTAGGCGACGGCTGGCTCTCTCATGCCCCCCTCATACGTGGTGGCCCTTTCCACGTTTTAGAGGCCCGGAGTTTCCTCCGCGGGACATGCGCATCAGTTCAGGCCTAAACATGGAGACAAGAACAACACAACATTTAGTGAATGACAATACAGGTATAATCACAACAAGGCAAACATATAAAAACGAGGGCAAAGATGTAATATAATTTGACCTTGACAAAAAAGATAATGCTGTGTCACAGCTAGGAGGAGGATCTTAACACGTCTCCATAAGAAAGAATAAAAGGATTTGCGCATTCAGAAAAAAAATCAAAACGCAACCCATTGTCTGAAGTGAAGAAGACCAGTGTGTTGTTGATCACTCCTGTCTTCTCCAGGGTTGTCATGTGCTGTAGAAAGAAGTAAAATAATGCGTTTATGGTCTCGCTGCACCAGCCGTTTACATGGGTTTGAAAACTCACATGGACAAAAAGCACTTAAAAATATACATCTTTTTAACCCTTTCAAGAGTTAAACTGACCAGGAGAGGGCTCTGATCCTGCCCTGATTGTAAATGTTTTGCTCACTCGAGGAGTAAACCATCAGAGACCGTCTCTTTTGCTTACATGGGAAGGATAGTAGAGGAAGAAAGGTTGTTTTTTCTTGGCGGACGCAGCGATGAAACTGGTTGTAAAGTCTCTGTAAGCTCTTTCCAGATTGATGAAGTCGACTGGCTGCTGCTTGATGACCTCATTGTGCATAAGTGGGGCTGTTACAGTTCCCACATCACACAATCCAAAACACTTGACATCTGGAGGGAAACAAGTGAGGTTCTGAAAATAAATAACATAACAATATTTTTCAGATTAGTCGCTTTTAATCCTTTTAGCTTGGCACTAAGTTCAAGTGCACTGACCATGTCATGGGAGTAGGGGATCCCCAGGTACTGGTCAAACCCCTGTTTGGTCAGAAGAAACTTCCCGTTGGCCCCGACTCCCAAGTGCCACTTCCCCATCGCAGCAGTAGCGTAGCCCAAAGGTTTCAACACTTCTGCAATGGTGGTCTCATTTAGAGGAAGGCCCCCCCTGGAGCCCGGGTACAACACTCCCGGGTAGATCCCCGAGCGGGTCTGATAGCGGCCCGTCAACAAGGATGCCCTGGAAACAAAGCAGGGTTGTTATTAAAGAGAGTTATGAAGGACTGGAGCGTGTATAACGGGTGTTGACTTGTAGGTTCAGTTTGGAAATACTAGGGCTAAAATAATGCATTGCTGTAAGTTACAAATCATTTACAACATCTCTTGGAGTGGAGATACTCAACTGAACCATCTGCTGCTACGTAAAGAGAAACTGGGAATTAAGAATAAAACAGATTAAACTGAAAACAGTTCAGAACACCCGTACATTTATTTACATTTCCCAGGGTGAAGCATCACATTGTGTTGCTCAACAGCCCTGACCTGCTGTGTCTTAACACGTTTAACAAGCCTGTGCTGCGGTTGATGAGCATTTTCATTTAGTTTTGTCACTGTTTTTCGGTGTAACGTGCAACTGACTCCTTTTGCACACGGGACGTTGCCCCGCAAATGAAAACCAACCTACCTGGACGGGCTGCAGACGGGGCTGGTGCAGTAGAACTCTGTAAAGCGGAGTCCTCCCGCTGCCAGGCGGTCCAGGTTGGGAGTGAGTGAACTGGGGTGTCCGTAGCAGCCCAAGTCCCCGAAACCCAAATCATCAGCGAAGAGGAGGATAAAATTCGGCGTTGAAGCCAAGCAGGTGTAAAAAAAGGAAAGCTGTCAAAAAGTAGAAGCGCGTGTTTTCCATTCTGCGTCCTCCTGAATCTAAGTGAAGCTAAAAGGGGGCTGGGCCGGTTGAGAGGAATCACAAACCCGAGAAGAAAAATGTCACATGTTCACTAGCAGAAACCGGCCAGGAAATGTAGTCCGGACCAGTCCTCCCAATTCAGGCAAACTAATGTTATTCACAATGACGGTAATTGTGCATTACCTTATTTATGTGGAACAAGTTGGACTCCTCTCGTATTCCGCAAGGAAGGAAGGTAATGAAAACGTTTATAATACTCACAGTAGTGCAGCTGGACTTTTTCCAGCGTCTGTGGGAGGACAGACATACTGCCCTCAATGTCCTCAACTGTTTTTGCGACCCGAATTAAATTGTTTGTCTGAAGGCCTGTGGCTGAGTTTATGTCCTCTGTGGCATCCTTGCAGCATGGAGATGATGGTGAACTGACAGATTGACAGATTTAAAAGTAGTTGTTAAGGTACACACCATGAAGATCAGTGAGTCAAAGACGTTGGGACATAGGGGAGAGTGGAGGACAGTTGGAGATCGTCCCCTCACCTCTGAGCTTTGGTCTGGCCGTCATGTTCCCCACACAAAGGGGCTTCAGAGGGAGGGACGCCGCGGTCCTGAGCCTGATTCATAGCAGAGTCCACACCTTCACAACAACCTGCTGGCAGAGCTCACATGTTCTTTATCTTCATCAGGACAAACACGCAGAGCTCATTCACCTCAACACTAAAACTCATGGGACACTTTGTGTGTTGATGTTTTCTGTCAAACGTTCATTTTCATTCTTTCAAACCATGTTAAGATGTCAAGAGACGTAATTTTAAATGCTCCTCCTGTATTGAGGGTTAAAGGCTAAAGGACTGGAGCTGTAGCTCGAAGACATGTGATCACAGTGGTGCATTTTTTAGAATCCAGATGTGATTCCAATCTCCTTTATTGTGCAACAGGTTATAACGGTTATTAGGTTGGGAAACACTGAACTGGCAGCGGTCAGTTATCAAAACATCGGCCAAATGTCAGTCTTCATTTCTGAACCTCGCATTGAGACACACATCGCATCAAGCGAGATTCTCAATAAAGTTAGAAAAAAATGTCGCTAAATACCCAACAGAGATCGGCTTGTGCGGTTCTGAAAAAGGAACCTTCCACCGATTATATAAATTAAAATATATGATAACTGACCGCTGCCAGTTCAGTGTTTCCCAACGTAATAACCGTTATAACCTGTTGCACAGGTCGCGTTGACTCTACAAAGTCAGTTCCGGTTTAGCTGCTGCGCTTCTGTAGGCAAAAACAATAAGCGATTTACCGAAGTCAAAACCGCTGGTTTTCGGCTTTGAACAACAAAAACGGGCGTTTTCCGTTTACTCAGTTTTGGTTTAAAACGAGAAAAACGAACAAACGAGGTACTTCCGTGTTTCTCGTTTGGACGGTAAAACAAACTTTAAAAAGGTTCACGGCCCGTTAACACACAAACACACATTGTATCACGGGACAATACTCACAGCTATCTGAACACTTTAAAGATGTTGACGTGAAATTCTGGTGACATTCTGACGCTTCTGCTGCTGCTGATTCTTCTGGTTCTTCTTCTGGTTCTTCTTATTTTTCTTCTTCTTCTTCCTCCTCCTCCTCCTCCTCCTCCTCCTCTACTTTTAGTGTATATTGGCGGTTAGCAAACCATCTTAGAGGTGCATTACCGCCACCATCTGGACTGGAGTTTGGAGCAGGAGTTTATGCAGAACAGAAATAAATAAATAAATATATATTTTTTAAATGAATAAAGCAAACATTTCATCAATTGGAGATGCATAAGTTATTATCCTCACGCGTTTGTGCTCTGCGATGCTTCGTGTCGCGTGGCATTGTTGAGGTCTGTCTGACCACAAAATTCACAGTATACCCACCTATAGTTTGGACTTCTGAAGAAAGACAAAGTTCCCTTTTAAATGCTCATCTTGTAAATGTTGTGTTTTTCCAGATGAACATCATCACTCATCTTCCAGCAGATAGAGCTGTGCTGTTTCTCCTCTTCATCTCCTTCAGAGTCAAGAAGTCAGTAAAACACAGACCAGTAAGATACATGTAGCTGTCCTATCAGGACACACCGTGGTTACCACGGTAATAATTCACTTCACCGTGTGATCAATTAGTAAAAGGTTGACTACAACCTGGTGATCAATGATAGAAAACCTGAACACTAAAGGAAACACAAACACATTCAAGCAAGTGACATTAGACGCAGACCTGAGCGGTCACGTCGACCCCCTGGTCGTTTTCACTACCCTGAATTAGGAAAACCCTTAATCTCCTTTGCTAAGAGTCTCTTAGAAAGCTTCAGTCAATCCCTTGATACGATCAATGATTACGATATTTCCCCTCTTAATGTCTTTTATACTGAAACCCAGTGAAGCACAAAGGGACCTATGCAAAGTCAAGGGGGGAGGGTGTAACGCTCATAAAATTAGGGCTACTAATATTAGTAGTAGTAATATCATGCGGGTTACAGAGAGGAAAAAACAGAGCCGCTGTGAATAAATGGCAGGCTGTGTAACACAGACCTGCTTTCACTGCGATCCAGTAAAAGATGACTGCTATGACCTTTTGTTGGGAGTAAATTAACTGTTGTCAGTGACAAAAGCAGAGCAGAACCAGTAGCAGAGGAGGCAACAAACAGCTCCTTAATCCAGCCTGTGTCTCTGAATGGTGGACATCTGCTAATCTTTAATTGACAGTCGACAGTGGCTGAAGTTATTTGTGATTTGATATTTGGACATGTTGAAATAATATGGATTGTACCGGTAAAAAAGAGAGTAAATGTTTTTGTGTGAATGAGCTTTTTGCTCATAACATTCGTCTGTGTCTCTCAGGGTGTTTGCAGCTCAGTGTTTTCCACCTGCTCTCATTAAGTTGACATCACAAGACGCACAGCAGGTATGACTGAAATGTGAGCCAACACGTAACAAGCACCAATGGGTCCCCCTTTTTTCATTTCTTCATCGTGACGGTCATCTTGGTGGTGGTCTTAACCTGTGCGTTGAACTGAATTGTAATGCAGCAGTGTATGCAGACCGCTAGTCTGTGTAGCCTGAATCAATTGAAGAAGGGGCTGGTAAACTGTTTGAGCACTAGTGGGCGCCATCACATCACACTTCAACCCCGCTCCTGTGCATGTGTCGTCTCAAGATTGTCTCTAAAGGGGAAAAGAACCTCAATTAAGTCTCATTTTTACCACTTGTTCCACAGACAATCTGTTAAATTTCATCTTTCAGGCTATGGTACAAAACACATTGGGCAGTAATGGGGCTATTCAGGGTTGATATGTATCTGCAATTTTGAGTGTTAAATGTAGTTCAGCTTTCTGACATTTCTAGGGTGGTTAAAGCTGGTCTTTCATCATGTCTTCATGTAGTTCCCTCAAGTCAGCCTTTACAGCTCTGCCTCTTCTGGCCATCTCTCTTGTTGAAACCAATTTCATGCCCTTGCATCTTTGGTTGTAACATGCAAACTCGCAGTGGGAGAAGGTTACATTTGATGTAGGACCACTGAGAGGCATACGATAAGGAGATGGATGGATAGATAGATAGATGGATGGATAGATGGGTAGATAGAGTGCAAGTGAGAGAAACAGAGGGGGAGGGGATAGAGAAAGCAAAGCAGGAGGATAAATCAGTAGATAATTCACAACCATGGACAGCCCTTAATACTTTGATTCAGCTCTCCCCTGACAGCAGAACGCTTCTAAATGAGCATGCCTGCTATTATTTTATTGATATGCAAATGCATTTTGAGCAGCATTTGCCACAACGTCCTTGAAGTTGCTCCTATAAAACATTTGATGAATAAGTGAAAATTGTAAATAACAGAAAAAGTGTTTCATATTTTTCATTATAGACATTACAGATGAACTACTTTAGCGTCATTAATTACAGTTATTACCCATTTTGTCAGTGTGATATTAGAAAAGCATACAGACAGTTTCAGTCAGTTTACACATCCCAGTTAGGTAGACAGTCTGTGGGTTCATTTAAAGTACATGTGACCTGCTGCATGAGCAGGGATCCACTAGTCCTTTTGGATGATGAAAAGTCATTGCTATTCTGGCTTGTGAGCTAAGGGAGCAGTGATAGAAAACATCCTAGAAAATAAACAGAGGTTCATTGGCACAATAAAGGCTAAAAGGGAGCATAGCATTACGCAATGAAATCCAACTGGCCTCTGTGGAGCAACATGAGCTGAAGAACTCATTAATGTTTGAGAACCTGCCGGGGTAATGTGCACTTTTGTTGGTGTTCTCGGCTCATACACCCGGAGCTCTCATTTTACTAAACTTAGAGTGTTCTCTGCAACTACACGTCACCTCTGCCCAAAATACTGAAGGGACGTTACAGTCAAAGTGTAACTGTCATTGCACAGATTGACAGTCAGATATAAACAGCCCCCTGAGCGCTGTTACGGTATATACGGTAATCTGTCCCCGCGTGGTCCCTGATCTCTTGTGATGGACAACCGGTGGTAAAAAACAACCTGCACAAACATATCCTCCACAACTGCCTGGTGCTATTATGAAGAAAGGCACAGCGAGAGGCCCTCACGTCCACTGCAAACATCCAGCTACCCTCCGGCCATCATCTGGTGCCACACTGTCAAGCTCTGCAAGTGATTTATTATCTTTCAGAAGGACTGCTCTCGTCATGCAGACGATGGGCCTGAGAGATACACAGGCATGACTCGTGGGGAGGGGGGGGGGCGGCCTGCAACGAGTAAGATGAAATGTTCTCAAAATTGACATTCTGCAACATTTGTTGGGCCACGAGATAACTGATGTATGCTAAGCTGAAAATGGTGAGATGAGTGGTACATGCAATGAATGCCAAAAATGTGTATATATTTTTAGATTTATCATCGCAGCTCCATCTACTCTACGCGCACTTTGAAAATATGCTCTGGCTGAGCTTGTCCTCAGGGACAAACAACCATCAGCTTTGATTGTAAACAACTCTCTGTCTGAATTTATTATTATCTGCCACAAGTGTATAATCTCCCAGACCAGGTCCTCTTGTCAACATTTACATATTCATGCAGATGGTGTTGTTGAAAGTAAATGGTAACAGCTTTCCCTTTTCCGATTATAATTTTGCATTGTTTGGAATTGTAACAACACATTAAGCTTCACAGCGCTGCGTCCTCAGCTTCTTGTGACGGTTAACGAGCCACACGGAGCAAAAACCGAGACACCATTACACATACATATCACACTGCAAAACATATTTAAATATTTTCACTCAGTATTCACCATTTATCACATCGGACAAGCTGATTTGAA